GCCGACGACCGCCGCCGACGACGCAGAAGGCCGCGCCCCGCGACGCAAGCCTCCGGTTCGCGGGAAGAAGACGCCCCGCCGCCGCCTACGCCGCGCGACCTTTGGCCGGCAACGCGACCGGTGGCGGCGAGGGGAGGGAGGCCGGGGAGGGGGGCTGGGGAGCGGCGTCGCTAGGGTTGGCTCCCAGAGTCGCCCGCGGGAGCGGGCAGTATCTGATGTGGCACTTTTCAGATTTATTTTTTTGACTTTTGCTCAGATTATGAGCTTCTTTCGACCTTAAGACTTTGTTGCATTTTTATTTAATAATATATGGCTGCATGCATAGATTGATGCAGAGTTCGGGGTTCATCCTCGTTTTCAAAAAGAAAAAACTTCATCCAATACATCCACAATAAAATGAAACCCCTTGAAGCAACTGACATTATTATTTTTCGGAACACATCCACACCTTCAACACACAAGCAGTTTTAACATGGTTTCTCCTACCTCCGGCTTTAAAATGAGAGTAAGGCTATATAATATATCTGAGCCGTTGTGTTTATCAAGTACTGGGTCTGAGTAAGTCATACCTTCTTACCTCCCATATGAAAAAAGGAGGTAGTGAGAATTATTTTTCTAGAATACACACGAGTGTGTGTATCGTGTATTAAACAAAAATGGGTGTATTAAAGAAAAAGGGGTGAGAAAGCCATCCACGGTCTGAGTAACTCATACCTTCTTACCTCCTATATGAAAAAAGGAGGTAGTGAGAATTATTTTTCTAGAATACACACGAGTGTGTGTATCTTGTATTAAAGAAAAAGGGGTGAGAAACACATCCACTGTGAGTTGTGACAAAGGTTCACAGAACTCAGTCCACCTAGTAGCTAATATACAAATTATCTAACAACTCACTAACTCCCACCTCGACATCGCTCCAAGGAAATAGTAGCTAATATACAAATTATCTAACAACTCACTAACTCCCACCTTGACATCGCTCCAAGGAAAGCATCTAAGTTACAACAAAGTCTACCAGCTCTCAACCAGTCCCAAGTTTCTTGCACAATTGTATGCAGAAGAAGAGCTTTTGATGACGCCGCGTGATACAAAACGTTCGCATTACTTATACTTTGTATTGAAAAATGAAGAGAAGGGAGAAAGGAAAAATCTTTCGCAACATCGGCAGTTTTTCTGGCTTGTCTTTGCGGCATTGTCTTGGACACTTTGCACGACGCGTAACAAAATGGAGATTGACAAGGTTTTTCCGAAGAAGGAGTCTGACTCATTCAAATTCCTTGCTTCTCTGTAGCACTTGCACTCGCTCTTGAGGCAGCATGATCACGATCGCCTCGGCCTCATGATGGATGCACTTCTGGCTACAACACATCAATTATCGTCCTCGTAGCGCCGCTTAGCGGCTGCCACTAGGTGGCTTTTTCCCCTATTTCTCTTATGTTTTCTAAGGCATGATTGTGTTGTTGCCCCAGCCGTCGATATTTGTATGTTGTTTGGATGCTGGTTGTATGCACCGCTGTTTTATCTATAAAGCGGGGCTAAAGCCTTTTTTGATAGGAAAAATCTTCCTAAACCACTTGCTTCAACCCTTTGCGATCCTTTACCCTGACATTTGAAAATACAGATTCAGTTCCTATGAAATTATTAACCCTCACCTATCTTTTAGGTACCATCCAGCGAAATTAAATTCAACCATCGTCAAACATGCAGCCGTCCCCATATGTATTTGGCTCTCTCCAATCTCCAACTGTTTACCCCCCTCGTGCAACATTCCTGGCTCCCTCACAACACACACATGTGTGTTTTATGCGTTGTATAGCATTTGAGAAATCATTAAGCTAACACTTGTCGTGAATTAATCCAAGAATGCAAGTCATTTAAATTAAGTTTAGAAGTTATACCGATCAAGTGTCAAGTGGTTTCGCTTGCCACTTTGCCATGTGGACCCATGCTATTCAATTTTAGACTGTGATTACGCTTGTGCAGTTGCACTGTCGCTACAAAATTCTCTTATAATTCTCACCTAATATAATATATCATATATATGTTACAACACAAGAAAAAAGCCGACAAACACGGGAACTGCACGTACTGTCGGGCCAGCATCGCTTTTCTTTCGGAGCACAATGAAGCATGCATCCACTTTGTTTCTGTAGCGAGCAAGCAATATAAGTAAAACAAAGCCCATAAGATCGTGCATGTAAACCAGTTGGTGTGCAGGATTATTGGAAGACCTGGTAGATAATAACTGATGAACACTTCTTCAATCGAGAATATGTAGTGGCCGAGGGGTTCCTGCGTATTGATCCTTTGTAAAGGATTAAATCTCAGTCCCTACAAACCCCAAATTACAAAGCATGCATTGTTGGTTGCGCGCGATGGATCTCAACACGTATGCAAATGATCTCACTGAGAAACGACACTAAGAAAGAAAAAAGTCCAACTTGATCAAGTTGTGTATGTTGTCTCTGTAAGCAGATGCACACTACTTTTTAAGGTGTTGTTCTGTTTTGAGGCTGGCTGTCATAGGAGATATAGTTCGTCCCATTTGTAGTTTGGTAGCAAATACTGATAGGTGTCTATCTGACCACACATAAAATTGAAAATGGCTTCATATTATGGTCCTAAATTTTCTTTGATCCCACTGATTGGATGGAGCGTGTGAATGTGGTTCAGCACTCGCTAATTAAGAAGTCATTCAAAACCCTCACTATGGGGCCGGCGCCACCAGGACGTTGGCGGTGATGCACGAGACAAGTAGGTCACTAATGTGTGTATTGTCAAAACGTTGTTACACCCTCCGTGAATTCTAACAATGCAACTAACTGATGCCATATCAACGCTAATCAAGCAGGAAAGTGTAGCACTAGGAGGCATGTGTCCTGCGGCTTATGAAGAACAGAAATAGACTGAACGGCCAGCTACCTCAGCATATGTAAACAAATTTTGCTAACGTTCTGGT